AATCATAATTACAATACAATATAATTTAACATAATCACAATCACAATTATAATTTTAACCCTTTATAACAATCTCAAAAACATCCTTAACGAATAAATGGCTCTCTAAATTTAATTTAATTATCTTTATCCACCATAAACATAATTTAAGTTTACATCTGCCTAACCAAACCAATGACTCGCAAGAGAAGCGTGATTCGTAAGGTTAACATTGGAAAAATATATTATTTTATTCATCCCTTAATTAATTTCTTAGATCGGTTCCTACTTATCCATCAGAAAAAAATAAAAAATAAAAAAATCAGACCCTAATTAATGGAATTGGAAAGTTTGAAGTTCAGAAGTCTTAATAAATTGTTCTTCTGTCTCGCCCACATCTGTCTTAATTGCCCTGACAACCATGTCACGATTATCGTTTCTGTTCCAGTACTTCTCTCACCGCCGTATCTCCCCTTCGCCGAGGTCCTTCTTCTTCATGCCCGCAAGCGTTGCTCTTTTTACCTCCTTCCTTATTTTCTTCTACATCTGCACAACCTCCCGTTTCTTTACTACCCATCAATTCCCCCTCTGTATCCACTCCGAAACACCGCATGGGTGTCCTCCAAGCATCCCTTTGACTCCAAAAAGAACCCCGATTTCACTTCATAATGTATCTCAAGGTGAATCCTTTGGCTTGGGAAAAGGGTCCCCACTTTTGGTAATCGAAGGTGGTAATGGAACCGGAAGTCAACGGCCTGCAAGATCTCATTTTGAGCCGAAGGGTATGTGAGTTTAAATTGTTTGTTAGTAGGAATAAGCTAGCTTCTTAGTTTGCTTTGGCATTTGTTAATTCTCTGTGTACCATACTGTGCTTGAATTTTTTAGCTTTTTGGATTTGCTCTTGTTTGGATGTGGGTAATTGCTACTTGGCCATGATATGGGTCTGGGAAGTCAGTTGGGCTTAAAATTTGTGTACTGTATGAGGTCATATCACTTTTCAAGAGGGACTAGCCTCAAACAGTTGATTAGTTAACTGTTGGAAATGGCCCAGGACATAAAACATGTCATTGCTGAGTCATAGATTGACAGGAGTAATAATCGGAATTGAGATTTCAAACAAGAACTATTAAGTATAGTAATTCTTATTCATGAGATTGTAATTGATAATAAGGTTTTGATTTCAATAGTTGATTATAGGAGGAAGGTCTAAGAGAACCATTGCATCTGTGCTACGAAAGAGAGTCTAGAACTCTAAATTCATGCAATATTATTTTATAGCTTTATAGTTCTCTTAGCTATCATTTATTCTCCCAAAAATCTTGCTTGATGACTTCTGTGTTAGTTATATTCTTGGCATTCTTGAATTGTGTTTTTTCTTATATAAACAGAACTTTTATTGTCTGCTTAATGTTGAAGGTGATTTAGGTGTCAATGATTTTATGTTTAATATCTAACGATTCAGTGCCAATTTGGTTAAAATTGCTTAAGCTTTGGTGACAAAAAACTGTAGTCAATATCTATAAATTATAAAGAAAATTATTCTACCGCATGAATTGGAAATTGTTGGTTTTTATGGTTCAGGAAACTTTGTGAATAACGTGGAGGTGTTTCATGATAGCGATATCTTTCTGGAAGACTATAAAGAAATGAATAGCAGCTTTAAGATATATGTTTATCCTCACAAGCGAAGTGATCCCTTTGCCAATGTTTTCTTACCTGTCGATTTTGAACCTGCGGGTAATTATGCCAGTGAAAGTTGCTTTAAGAGGGCTCTTATGAAAAGCCATTTCATCACAAGAGATCCTACAAAGGCAGACCTTTTCTTTCTACCTTTCTCAGTTGCAAGATTGCGACATGACCGTAGAGTTGGTGTGGAAGGTATTAAAGATTTTGTCAGAGATTACATCTTCAATATTAGTCAGAATTACCCTTATTGGAATCGTACTGGTGGAGCTGATCACTTTTATGTTGCTTGTCACTCTATTGGACGTTCAATTATGGAAAAAACACAAAGTGTAAAACTTAATGCAATTCAAGTTGTTTGTTCTTCAAGTTATTTCCTCTCTGGGCATGTTGCTCACAAAGATGCATCCCTGCCACAAATTTGGCCAAGAAAAGGAGAACCCCCAAACCTTGCCTCTTCCAAAAGGTGAGCTTCTATACTCTATTGCTGTCCTCATTTATTACTTTGTAAGTTTTATAGAATGACAATGGTAGAGGTCCATGATAACAGATCATGGATTATGGAGGATGTTCTAAATTATTGAGAGGCAAAGTTAGAAGTAATCATCTCACCTTTTTATCTTAAATGATCATTTGCATTCATGCATCTATAAACAACAGTGGAAGTTGTCCGGTCCAAAAAATTATTTCATTTGAGTTAGTTATTTTATATGTTCACACATGTTCTAGGACTGATCTTGAGCAAGCTGTTTGTATTTTTACTTCATCGGAAGAAGTGTTGTAGTCAAAACCATTTCCCATTAGTTTAGTATTTCTGTTCTTGAGTCCATTGGCAATCAGAAAATGTGTTGGTGTATTCCTTTTAGTCTGTTTCTATACCCGTCCCTAATGATTTTACATATGCAGGCATTGTAGACTCTCTCTTAAGGGTTCTAGTATTATTAGCGAGAACATATCTTCAGTATGTCCTAGATTTGCCTTTTTTATCATAAAGTTGTCCAGCTGATTGATATCATACTTTATTCTGATATTGCCTATCACATTATAGAAATTGTTGGAAGTAAAGATAGCATGACAGTAGACTGTAGGGTTATTTACATCTTTTGTCACCATCCTTTGGGATGGAGGATATTATGTCTGCCTTTCTCCATATATTGCATTAGCTAGTTATTCTGATTACTTAGCACCCTCTTTACAAAATGATAAACTATGAAACTAAAACAGGTGAAAAAGGGTTTTGCTACTTACATTGGAACTTTTGAAATTTTGTAAATGCTCGATCAGTCTTGTTAATACTTCATTTCACTATAACATTCAGTAGTTCTGCATTTGTGATTCCAGAAAAATATATTATATAGATCAAATTTACTTCATTTTTGGAAAAATGGCCAAGGTTTAGATTCTTGTCACTTCCCATTGTCTTACAGTATAGAAAAATCATCTGTCAAAGTTCTATGTGTAAACTGTGCCCGAAGTTTTATCTAAAATCCAAAAAATAAAAAATAAAAAAAACGAGGGAAGAAGAAGAACAAGAAAGTTCAGACATTTTTATTGTTTGGATTACCAGTGGTTTTGAAACTTGTCTTACACCAATGGTAAAATAATATTACAGGAATCAACTGGCATTTTTTGCTGGAGCTATGAACGCCCCAGTGCGTGGAAAGGTTATTAAGTTGTGGGGAAATGACTCTGAGATCTTTGCCCACCCTGGTCGGCTCAAAACACCTTATGCTGATCAGCTACTGGGAAGTAAGTTTTGCCTCCATGTCAAAGGCTTTGAAATCAACACAGCTCGTATAGCAGATTCATTGTATTATGGCTGTGTTCCAGTGATCATTGCCAACCACTATGATCTCCCATTCACTGATATCCTGAACTGGAAGAGCTTTGCAGTTGTTGTTACCACTGAAGATATCCCAATGCTGAAACGAATACTTAAAGGGATAAATTCAGATAAGTATCAGCTGTTACAAAGCAATGTTTTGAAGGTGCGCAAACATTTTCAGTGGCATGTTCCCCCAATTAATTTGGATACCTTTTACATGGTTATGTATGAGTTATGGTTAAGACGAAGTTACATTAGATTAGAGGTCTCTGAGGCTACCAAGTGATGATATTCTTCTTTCTCTGTACGTATTGCTTTACTCCAAAAGTAGCTCGATAGCTTCAAATGGCCTTAGATTGATCTTCTTGTAATCCACTGTTCTGAAATAAACATCACATATTAAAGAAAATTTCCAGCATTTGGTTCTTGTATGTTGCTCTGAGTAACTTCTTGTTTTCCTTTTATTTCTTGGTTCCAAATGAGTAAAGGGATCTTCTAATCTACTCAGCCTTTCACCATGTTATGCTTAGAAACTCAGATGAACCCAAGTTCACAATGGAACCACAGCTGAGTCTGATTAGTGCAAGTCAGCTCACGATTTACCGGGGACCAACGTGCACTGTCTGAGATCCCTAGCACTTGGAGCCTTTTAAGGACGTTATTTGCTAGAAGTTAAGGGAATACATGGTCAAAGCATAATCTGATTTTAGACCTTCACCATGGTTCTTTCTTACAAATTTACAGCTTCTGATGTCTTTATAAGTGGTTAATTGCCTTTATATTTCCGAAACCTGCAAAAAGTTACTTTCATAATAGCACGTCTCAAGTTTGAAAAGAGCTCATTATACACATTTTCTATTTATTTGGTTCTTCATTATTTTCTGATCTTGACCACTTTTAATGGATTTATATCTGTCTATTGGCCATAAATATTGACATCTTGAACTTATATAAAACTATTCATAAGATTGTCAAGTCTTCATTCATTTAGGCTCTCCCTTGTAGTGTTTCTCTCATGGGGAAGTCTTCTTCCCTCTGCTACAAGCTCTCTGAGTACCGGTTCTCAACATCTTTTAAAGGATCCTTCTTCTTCTTACCCTTGAGTTTGGCAATTTCCACATTTCTTCTCATTTTCATATACATATGTACAACCTCAAAAGTGTTCACTAGTCCAGAAAGTAATCTTTATCAAGTGTCTGCACCAATTTCTTCTTTAATCCAGCAAATGATCCCCGCTTCCCTTGAAAATGCAGCTGATGACTTTTTCTTTGATTCAGCAAGATCTTTTCACTTTGCAAGTGGTAATCAGTGGTCTATAGGAAATCTGTTTGGGATATACGGTATGTGAATTCTCAAGTTTGATGCTTTCTAGATCTTATCTGCATTAAACTTTCATTTTGTAAGCCCAACTTCTGATCTCAAGCTCTTTGTTTTGTGGTTCAGGAAATAATTTGAATAGCACAGAGGTATACCATGATAGGGATTTCTTTCTTCAAGACTACAAGGGAATGAATATGAGCTTTAAGATATATGTTTACCCTTACAGCAGAGATGATCCCTTTGCAAATGTACTTCTACCTGTGGATTATGACCCCAAGGGTCATTATGCCAGTGAACTCTACTTCAAGAAGATTCTTATGAAAAGCCACTTCATAACAAAAAATCCAAGTGAAGCAGATCTTTTCTTCATGCCTTTCTCAATTGTAGAAATGCGGCACGACCCCAGAATTGGTCCAGAAGGAATGCAAGATTTCATTAGAGATTACATTTTCAACATCAGTAACAAGTATCCGTACTGGAACAGGACAGGCGGCGCTGATCATTTCTACGTTGCTTGCCATTCCATTGGAAGATATGCCATGGATAAAGTAGTTGAAGCTAAGTTCAGCGCCATTCAGGTTGTTTGCTCTTCATCATATTTTATAACAGGATACATTCCTCACAAGGATGCATCTATGCCTCAAATTTGGCCTAGAAAAGAAAATCCCCCAAACCTTGCTTCCACAAAAAGGTCATCCAAATCATGTTTTCCTAATTGATTATGTTATGTTTAACTCATCTTGAGATATTGAAGTTTTGTTGCATTCTTTGGAAGTAATGAAGTTATACTGCAACATTTTTAATCCCCTCTTTACAAAATGAAATTACAGAAAGCAGCTGGCATTCTTTGCTGGAGCAATAAATTCCCCAGTCCGTGTAGCTCTGCTCCACATATGGGGAAATGACACTGAAATTTTCGCACACTTTGGCCGCCTCCAAACATCTGTTGCTGACCAACTCCTCAGGAGCAAGTTCTGCCTTCATGTCAAAGGCTTTGAAGTAAACACAGCACGTATTTCAGATGCAATAAATTATGGTTGTGTTCCAGTGATTCTTGCCAATCACTATGATCTCCCATTTGCAGACATACTGAGTTGGGAGAGTTTCTCAGTGGTGGTTCACTATGCAGACATCCCTGTATTGAAGAATATACTTCAAAGGATAAGCTTAGAAGAATACTCCTTACTGCAAAGTAACGTGCTAAAAGTGCGTGAACATTTCCGGTGGAATGATCCTCCAACCGATTATGATGCTTTTTACATGACCATGTACGAGTTATGGCTGCGCCGCAGTTCTCTGAGGGTCCGGTTGAGTACTTTTCTGGAATAATATGTTAAGCGTCAGAGTTCTTTGAGACGTCCAAGAGACATTGAGGATTCATTGTTTCCCTTTCCTAGTTTATATTGATTTATTTCACATTTGTTACATACTAGAGATTTGATCAATCATAGAGACATCGGTCACCCTGGAATCTACAACTCAAAAGGTCACAGATTTAGATACACAAGATGAGTTTTCGGAATAGGAGAAGGCTATCTCTTATTGTCTAATAATTTAAGGTTTAGATTCAGGTACCCGTTCTGGCCAAAAAAACAAAGATTTAGGTATCCAGTAACAATCATTTATATGAAAAAACAGAAAGCATGCTTTTTTCAACATGGTTAATCCTCATACCAAAGATGATCCTTTTGCTAATGTCCTTTTAAGGGTCATTCATTATGCCAGTAAATTTTACTTCAAGAGAGATCTAGTAAACAATTTTTCATCACCAAGAACCGGAACGAGGCAGATCTTTTTACAAGTCTTTCCCTGTTGAAGACATGTACCATTTTTTTTTGCCATAACATGCAGTAACTCAATCATAAAATAAAAAGATGAAGTGAAAGCATGTCCTCTTCTCCATTTTATTTTGATATCCCCAACAAATAATTGTAGAAGATTCAAACTTGATCAAACATTTCAAACTAATTAATGAAATGATTGTCACTTTTGATCTTAAATTAATGAAATGAAAGAAATGTACAAATTTTCTGGATTTATGAAACAACCATAAAAACATCCTTGTTTTCTTAACTAATATGAATATTGATATGACAAGGAAATTTACAAAAGAAAAGAAAAATATATAAATCAATCTAAATGGTCAGATCAAGGAAAAGGAACGAAAAGCTAACATGTTTCTAAAAGATAACCCTTCGTATATAACAATCTCTGAAAGCAGCCATATTGCCCACATTCTTCCATTAGATGGATCAGTTATCTTCTGACCTTGATGAAAAATTTTCATGCCTTTTACCTCTTTCTTTTTGTGGCCTTCATGCCTTTAGCTTTCTCTATTTACTTTAAATCTCTAACAATAATAACAAAAAGGAAAAAAAAAAATTGTTAGCCAATTGAAATAAAAAAAAAAAAAAAATCTCACAATATGATATGTCAAATGTTTTTATTAACTTTTTTTCACTTTATAGGATGCATCAATAGCTATACATTCATTTGTTTGATATTATATAACTATATATTGTGAGGATTTAATATAAATTAATGTTTGTCAACACATCATTAACATCTTATATATGCAATTCATATCACATATAGGGCATCTAACTTATCCCACTATGAGAAAAGGTCCTAGTTCAAGGCATTAAGTCTTTAATCTCATAAAAATTCTAACATCTTATATATGCAATTCATATCACATCTAGGGCATCTACCTTACTACCATGCGAAGAGGCTCTAATTCAAGACATTAAGTCTTTAATCTTATAAAAATTTAGAACTTGATTAACATATTGGTAATTTATGAGAAAGGGTAAATTTTGCATTACATGTTACTAATTTAAAATAATTTAACATTTTAAAACTTTTATAAAAAATAAATTTTTAACCCCTTTCATTTTGAAGTTATTTTTTTGAAACTATTTTTTCAAATGGGATACTTATGTCAATTTATGTTATTTAAAAATATAAATTTTATATTTTCTTAAAATTTAAATTATAAATCTAATTTATATTGATACTTACTCATTCGCAAATAAAAAATCACTTTTGTTAAGTAAAGTATAAAAATAATTCTTTTACAAAGTTCATGAATATTAGTGGTATTACTATTAACCCGATAATAACAATAATAATAATGATGATGAAAAAAAAAAAGAAGAAGAGCCAAAAAGCCACAATAGATTTTAGCTTGGGGACACTCATCTGTTCATGGTTGGCTTAATCACAACAGAATCAGAACCTTCTTCCTTC